TCTCTCCTCGTTGTGCTGCCAGCACGTTTTCCCCGCGGCCGCGCCTGGAGGTAGTCGAACCAACACCGCACTTCTCGGACGGCAGCGTGGTATGCAGCAAGGCGCTCCGGGTCACTGGTAGCGGCGCAGTTGGCAACATTCCTCCTCCTGCCAGTCTCCACCTCATCATCCTGTTCTTCCTCCTCCTCCTCGTTCTCCTCCTCCTCCTCTCGGTTCCTCCTGCCTACTCCTCCGCCTCACTGGTCCCCAATCCGTCCTGCTTCCTTCTCATCCTCCTCCTACTACTCGTCGTCCTTCTGTTCCCTGCCCTCGGCACGCCAAGCCACACCCAACTGTGCATACAAAACGCACAGGGCGCTTACGAATGGCCCGCGACCAACCGCCAACCAAGCATGAGGCGAAGCCCAGCCGTAAACATTAAATTACTTCGACGAGACATCTAAAGCTCGGAGTGCAAACCCTGATGAGTTAATCAACCGATTCTGCCGTCGTGCGTGAGACATTTGTCCGTTCCATACTTCGCTGCTGCGTTTTCTGCGAGGCGCACGAACGCCTCGAAGCTACTTCCATGAATTTCGACCCACTGTCACCAAATCCAATCAACGCTATGCTACTGTAGTTCCAGAGAATAAATCTATGTTACGGGATTAGCGGCATCAGCGGGGCACAAACATAGTAAGACAAATAAAGGCCCATGACGTTCATACTTTGTCCTGGAAGGGCGGACGAAGGCGAGGAGGGAAGCAGCATGGACGGATGGATGTTCAGGACGTGCCCCGTTCCTTTTGTATAGAATTGCAGGACGGGCACCTTGTAAATGGCGTGCGAGGTATTCCGAAGGCCTCCTCGCTATTGCGAGGCCTCCGCGGAGGGATGCGAGGGGCAGGACATCTTGAAAATAGCATGGTATCCAGATACCCTCCTCGCTCTGGCGGGGCCTCCTCGGAGGGGTGCGAGGGGCAGGAAACCTTGCAACAAGTTGTGTGTTCCGATACCCTCCTCGCTCCCGCGGAGCCTCCCTGGAGAGGTGAGAGGAGCACAACGCCTTACAAATAGTAGGGTGTCCCGATGCCCTCCTCGCTCTGGCGGGGCCTCCCTGAAGGGGTACGAGGGGCAGGAAACCTTGCAAATAGTATGGTATTATGATGCCCTCCTCGCTCTAAGGAGGACTCCCTGGAGAGATGGGAGGAGCACGACACCTTGTAAACAGTAGGGTCCCCCGACACCCTCCTCGCTCTTGGCGGGGTCTTCCTGGAGGGGTGGAAGGGGCAGGGACCTTTGTAAACGAATGGGGTTCCGATGCCCTCCTCGCTCTGGCGGGGCTTCCCTGGAGTGGTCGGTGGGACACGACACCTAGTAAATAATCGGAGGTTGGGGGGTGAGATCGCAGCGAAACGGAGACCCCCCACAAGGAAATCGGTTTCGGTTTCGTGTTCGTGTCGTGCGTGTGGGCGAGGCGAAGCTGTGCGTGATCCTCTTGTAGCTAGGCCGAAGTAGGAGCGAAAGTCCGTTCCCGTCCGCCGGTGGCAGGGAGGTGTCCCAATTGGGCCAGGCGGTGTCCCGGGTGTCCCGGGCGTCCCGGCGCTAACGCATGTCGCCAACTTCATAATTCAGTTGTTTCGGCGCCTGCGGCGGGCTTTCTTATCCAATCCAGCTTATCTTATCCAATCCATATTGTCCAATACAATCCATCTTATCTCATCCAACCCATCTTCTTGCATCTTATCTTACCCCACCCAATGCAATCCACCCAACCCAATCCATCAATTCATTTGCTTCTGCGCCTGCGGCGGGCCAATCCAATCCATCGAATTTGATCCAATCCATTTCTTCTAATACAACCCATCCTATCTGATCCAATCCATCTTATCCCATCCAATCCAATCCACCTAACCCAATACATCAATTCATTTTTGTCGGCGCCTGCGGCGGGGTCTCTTATCCAATCCAGCTTTTCTTATCCAATCCATCTTTCCACCCCAATCCATCTTATCTTATCCAAACCACCTTGTCCCATCTAGAAAGGTAACAGGCTGGAGGTCAGTCAGGGTGGGCATTTGATCTCAATCCCCCCCAACCTCCTTATCGCCCGCAGGGCGGTCGTATGGGTATGGTATTGTGATACCCTCCTTTCTCTGGCGGGGCCTCTCTGGAGGGGTGGGTGGGGCACGAACCATTGTGTGGTATTCCGATGCCCTCCTCGCTCTGGCGGAACCGCCTCCCTGGAGGGGTGGGAGGGACCGGAAACCTTGAAAATAGCATGGTATCCAGATACATACCCTCCTCGCTCTGGCGGGGCCTCCTTGGATGGGTGCGAGGGGCAGGACCCCTTGCAAAGAGCATGGGGTTCCGATGCCCTCCTCGCTCAGGCGGGGCTCCCTGGAGGCGTGCGAAGGGCAAGAAACATTGAAAATTGTACGATGACCCCATACACTCTTCGCTCTGGCGGGGCCTCCCTGGGGGCGTGGGGAGGACAGGAAACCTTTCAGATAGTCACCCAGCTCTGCTGCTTAGCTTCTCCCCCTGCTCTGCCGCATGACGCAGAGTCTGGAAATGGCGAAGAGATCACGCGAGGCAATCCAGCCCTAAACGGGCGGCGGCACAAGTGTGCTTGCGCGCGCCATGGCGGTCTGACAAGAACAGTGTCCCCATCCAGCAAGCCTATGCGGCGAGAGGTGGCGATCGAACTACAGTCTAAACCAGCGTCAAGGGTAGGCCCTCATCGCAAGGACACCTTGCATCCTTCGGTTCTGGTCATCGTTCGCACGCTTGGGCGCTCACATCCTTGGCCTTCGCAGGGTTCCGAGGATCGATCTTGCATCTTCAAACCCCATCCGTATCGCTGATGTAAGCTTGACCCCTGGCCCAAGAGAAGAGGAAGACACGGTCGGACGCAGAAACACGCGAGCACGCGCTCCTGCTCACGGCGGCCAACTCCTCGTGCAGCCGAACGAGCGAGCCGTCCATCGGGTACTTCAGCGAGAACTTCGTCCAGTCCAGCCAACCGGCAAACGGCGGCACGAAGTGGTCCGAGAGGAGCACCTGCCAGACGGGGGAAGAGAACGCGAGAGCACAGGAGCAACTTCGCCGAACAACAAATCCCTACTTTTCAGCATGTCCTTGCTTGGCTGTCCTTTCTCCTCCACCAATGCTTCCACTGAAACTGTCCTGGCGGACACTGGTCCCTGGATTCCCGCTTTCGGGAACGAGACGCTTTCGGTGGAGACACAGCAGATATAGCGATGTACACATATATATACATATATATATATATATCGCTCGTAACCAGAACGCTCCACCATCCCTACCACTCGAACGCGGCAGCGGCAGCAGAGCAAGAGAGACGGGTCTGCACGACCTCGTGGGAGAGACAAGAGCCGCAAGAGGACGGCGTGTCAGTCCGAGGACCGGCCGCGGCGCAGCAAGCTGCACAGCAACCCGTCGCCTCCCTTTGCGGCTCCTCATCGGACAGTGTCAGAAGAGGGCCCTGGACCTATCGACAAGTGCCTGTGCAGCCCTACGGGCAGTGTAGAAGTGCTGCTCGTGCTGCTCTGTAGTGCAATATATGGGGAGCGGCGGCTGGGTGCGAAGGGTGTTGTACAGATGAAAAGCCAGCACCAACCGCCCCACATCTTCTGGAGACGGGTCCTCCCCAAGTCCGAGACGCGACGCTGGGCTGCCAGGGGTCGGGGCCGAGGGGGGGTAAAGAACACTCCAGAGACCAGGGCAACGGACATAATGGGAAAACTGGTCGAGGGCGTACGGCAGCAGCCGACCACAATCACACCTGAACTGACATCGCCCGGGGCCACCCTGGGTGTGTAGCCTGCCACTCGAGAGCCACCCCCCGCACATTGTTTTTATCACTGCAGCTTGCCAGCTAGGAGGCGCTCCCGAGGCTAAAAGGTCCCCGCAAGGCACACCATTCGGCTCGACCGACAGGGGGCAACTTCCAGGCTCGAAATCGACGGGCGAGGAGGAGGTGGAGCGAATCAGGGTAGAGGGAAAGGCGAAGGGAAGAGGTGAGGACACGCTGCGTTTTCACTCGCCTCGGAGGCTCCGAGGCACAGGCATCCGCACGCGCCGCGCCGAGAACGGCACGGGCAGCGCGAGCGGCGATCTGCATGTCCACGGCGCCGCCGTCGTCGAAGCAGTTCTTCGCATTCTGGAGCCGCGCGACGATCGGGAGCGTCTGCCAAAACCACGGGCTCCTCCAGCGCATCCCGATCTCGGCGAGCGTGCCGTGGTCCCAGCATTGTTCAGCCAGGAAGACGAACAGCTGCTGCCAATTGGTGATCGTGTCCTCCGCAGAGCGCATCATCGCGGCAGCGGAATAGACGTTGATCGAGTGCAAGCGGAGCGTTGACCAAGAAGAAAGGCCGAGCACGTCAGCCTTCGCGAGACTCTGAGGAGGCAGATGCCATATCCTCATCATTGCCCAGCCCTCACGACACCTGATCGCCTTCGGTCTGGGGAACAGCTGCGCGAGGTATCCAAGGGTGGGCAGAACGCGTGCGTTGTACATGTGCGTGGTAAGATGGACAGGACAGTCGGCGCCGGCCAGCTCAAGCACACGAAAGAGCCACTTGCCACCAGCAGCTTTCCAGATGTCATTCAGGGCGACGGCTGGTCCGAGAAGCGCCGAGGTATTCAGCTCTGTCGGCGACCGTCATGTTGCGCCACGATGGGATGTGAGTCGCCAGCCAGGCCTTCATCTCGCATTCAGCGTCGGTGCTGAACGGGATCCCGAGCGGCACGAGGACGCATTTCGGCAGTTCGAGGAACAAGCCAGCGAGCGTCTCAGCAGCACGGAAGACACGCCAGAAGCGCCCGAGCATGCGCCTGTCGTGGACCACCGCACCGACGTCGTCAGCGCGAACGCCCAAGGCACAGAGCTCGGATATACCGACGATGAGCTCGAGGTGGGCCACGAACGGGTTCATGCCGATGGCTCACAGCGACCCTGAAAGTGGGCAGCCTTGGGCAATGCCCGAGGCAGCAGCGAGGAAGAACTGCATGATGCCAGCATCGAGGAGGTACGCTGTCGGAAAGAAGTAGAAGCCGAGCACTAAGTCCAGCAACGCTCGCTCCATGCCAGCGCGACGCAGTGTGAGCTCCAGCCAGTCGTGGTCCAGCGACGGGAACGCGTCGCCGAAGTCGAACATGGCGAAGTAAGGCTGCCTTATCTCACGATGGTCTTGAAATCCAGCGGCGCGGCCGACGGTGTCGAGCAAGGCAATATTATTTAGAAAGTTTCTGCCCATCAGCAATCCACGTTGAGAAGCTGGACTCTTTGCACCGAGCTCACGCTTGATCGAGTTGTTCACGGCGGCCGCCACGATCTTGTTATCTGCAATTTTCAACGCGAGAGCTCTAGTGCGTGCCGCTTCACGGTACGCTCCTGTCTGCAAGTCGCCATCCCCCTTCCCCTTTGGCAAGAAGACCATCAGGTGATCGTTCCAGTCGCACGGGGGAGGGTGCCCCAAGCAACGCGAGCTACATCAGCGAGGTCTCGGAGTGCACGAGGTGACTTCGCCCATGCCGCGCATGGTACGCCATCGGGTCCAGCAGCAGAGACGCGAGCAGCACCAGCAGCACGGGCCAGTTGGCGATCATCAGGAATCGAAGCGTTGCTGAAATTCATGGGAACATTATATATGTCCAAGTATTTGTTCGCAATGTCGATCGGGATTTCCTTGTGCTGAAATATAGGTGACCAATGTCGGCGAAGCTCAGCGTGAACATCTTGGCGCGCATCCACCACTCGAAGCCCATGCTCTTCGTCAGGGAGCTTGGGGCCTCGGAGCTGCAACGTCTTCTTGAACGGCGACCACGGTGCAGCGCGACGTCGGAGAGCTTTGCGCATCCCGCTGATCATTTTGAAAGAGTTGCCGTCGGGTGGTTTCCGTCGCTGTCGTTCGTCCAAGAGCCGCTCACGCTGGTCAGCATACGCGTTCTGTGCCATCAGGAAGTCGGCCTCGAACTCGCTGGCGCCCTGGAGCTGCACCTGCAAAGCGGCGACGGAAAGGTGCCTGAGGGCGATCGGGCTGGACGCCAGATGCTTCCGTGCCAATCGAATATCGTTGCGCCAGACAGCACGGGAGATGGGGCGGTTGACGACCAGCTGCGCATCCACCGACGTGTCACCGAGCACGTGTGCTCAGCTTCGCGTTGATAGGTAGAGAGACGACCCCGTGGAACAGCATCGCAGAACTTATCATACACCATCGCGAACTCAGGGTCGTCGAAGGTGAATTGAGGAATAGCCTGCTGCTCTGCGGGAGTTGTGCGTCGAGGCCGAGCTGTGACAATCACAGGCGCATGGTCAGAAATACCCGTCCCATGAAGGCGTTCAGGAAATAAATCGGTTGCTGTATCCAGTTGCCATTGCAGTGTGGCCCGCGGGGGCATAGCCACGAAGATGCGGTCGGTATGTGTCAATCGCGGTACATGATCTTGCGAAGTAAAATGCGTCGGTAACTCATTATCCAATTCAGTGAACTTGGTGCAGATGTCATTCCATTTGCGAGAAAGCGGCCGTGGCGCAGAATCAGCAGCGAGCCGAGCACTCAACTCAGGGGCGCGTAGGTGAAGGGGTTGACTCTTGTAGATATTGATATCACCGAGCAACACGACGGTGATGCGATCAGGGGCAGACGCAGCAAGTGCTAAATCTCTGGTGATGAGACGATCGATCGTGCCCATGTCAGTGCTCGAGAGACCGAAGTTGTGCACGTTATAGTATGTGATACTGTTGCTCGCTTCCGACGGCGACGATGGAATAGCAGAGATACGTAAACGCTGCACACGGCCAGGAACGATGATACCAGGAATGAACCGAGCGTACTCGTCGGCGTGGTGAGAGCAAGGGGTGACGATTGCGACGCCACCTGTATCACGTTTTCCTCAACGAAAGATGTGAATACCTTGTGTGAAAGATGAAGACAATGCAGCTCCTGTCGAAATTGAATATGATTGGTATGAACCTCCTGAACCGCCATCGACGTTCCTCTCGCCAAGTATTGCCCAAGAAACTTCATTTTTCGAACTCGTACCTCGCCGTCGTGATGAATGAGAGCTCTCGCATTCCAGGTGCCGTAACTTGTTGCTTCTGTCTGCTTGTGCTTCGGCAGCCAAGGGGCGAAGTACGTGCTAAATAGACCACTTGACTTTCTCGGATTGCCCGTGCATGGTGTCGAACTCTGCTTTGCTGACGTCTTTAGGTACACGGTTGTCAGTAACAGCACGGTAATTCCACTCAAGAGACGTCGGCTCCTCGGAATTCTTCCGCGACCACCAGCCTGACGAGCGGGGTGTTGCCGAGCGCGACGATACCTTGATATTTGTTGGCACGGACACGGGTGTTGAGCTTGGTCGCGATGATGCCTGCGAGCTTCTTTGTCTGGACCTCGCGTCGGATTTGATGTGGGTTCTTGTCGAGCCCCACATGCAGAGTAGTGCGACCTCCAGCCACCATGGAACAATCAAATTTTCGCCAACTTCCGTCTGGATGCTTGAGATGCCGAAATGCGTGGACGACGTGACGTGCTGCCATGGCTTCAGATCCTTGAAATTGAACGTGGAATCGCTCGCCAGGAGAATTACCACCTTCGACCTTCCACCGCGTGTCAGAAAACCCAGCTGCTTCGATCCACGGCTTGACAGACAGGGTGACCTCGTCCAGAGTAACCATTTCTTTAGCGCTGGCCACGAAGATCGTTTTGTTGGCAGGCCGGGTGAAGTTGACCGCGTCGGAGATGTCGAAGGCTTTGGGGGCTTCGATATCCATGATGTGAAGCTGCTTCCGCATGTCTTCGAGCTGCTCGCGCATCTGCTTCTGTTCACTTTCAACTTTGGCAACACCACGGTCGAGGTCGCGCAAGTGCATATCGATCTCCTCGTTCTTGACCTCTTGCTTGCGCACCACCGCGGTGACAGCCTTCGACGTGACCTTCGACAAGTCTGAGGCGAGCTTGGCTTGGGAGTGCTGGACTGTATTGACGATGTACTTGCGCATGTCGGCCAACACGTTCTCGAGCTCACCGCACTTGACAGGTTGATCGGCCTGCGAGGGGTCGAAGCAGGGGCGGTCGTCCACATCGTCGCTGCCGTCGTCGGAGCTCGCATCCATGACTTCGCCTTTGCCTTCCTCCTTAGGAGGCCCAGACCCAGGGAGAAGAGGAGTACCAGTGGCAACAGTGCCAGCAACGACTTCAGCTTGAGCTTGTGTTTGGGCGGCCGCCCGCGGGTCTTCAGTCTGCAGGATATCACGGCGAAGATGGGGGCTACGAGAGCCAGCACGGGCAGCAGGGCCAGCATCTTGGGTGCCACGGTCACGCCAGCGGCCAGCGCCAGCAGCACAACTGCCAGCAGGGCTGGGAGGTTTGCGCGCAAGAGACCTCCGCCCGCCGTCAGTGCCATCGCGGCCTTCAGCAGGCATAGACCCCGCAGGACTGAAACGGAGTCTGTTCGTGAGTACACTAAGAAGACCAGCCGGTCGCAGTAGCAGAGTGGTATGAGGAAAGTTTATCCTGCCTCGGCCTTGAAGCCGTCTGGAGGCAAGGATCGTTTGGTGCCGCAACCGGGCGCTATCGCCGATCTCGAGACGCGGTGGCGACTTGAGCCAACATGGCTACGGCTATACACATATATATATATATATATATATATATACACATGAATCGACAGGTAACACAGTTATCTTGGCGAAGGACCCAGCGAAATGCAGTTGTGAACACCGTCGTTGCGAGTATCGCCTTCGGGGCATCTCCCCATGGAGCCGTGAAGCATGCAAGGGTGTGCAGACATGGTGCGGGGCCGCCATGTGGGCGCTGACACTGGGGCTTTAAGTGAGACTCGCTATGGTGCCGCGAAACGTGCGAAGATTGCGCCGAAAATGCGGCGGGGCCGCCACTGGAGCCTTCGGTGGAGCTCCCCATGGGGCCACGTAGCGCTGTACTGTGGGGGGGAGACGCATGCGGGCGGTGCTAATGGGGCCTTCGGTTGGAACCCCCAATGAGACCACGAAACGTTGTACTGGGTGGGGGGTGACGCATGCGGGCGGTGCCACTGGAGCCTTCGGTGGAGCTCCCCATGGGGCCACGAAAAGCTGTACTGGGTGGGGGAAACGCATGCGAACGCCACCAGTGAGGTCTTTGGTGGAGCCCCCATATGAGGCCACGAAACGCAATACTGGGAGACGCATGCGAACACTGCAACTGAGGCATGCGGTAGACCTCTCTATGGGTGCCCTCGGTGGGGGAAACGCATTGGAGCACCGCCAATGCCTTCAGTGAAGCTCCCTATGGGGTTACTGGGTGGGGGAAACGCACGCGGGCGGTGCCATTGGGGCCTTCGGTGGAGCTCCCCATGGGGCCACGAACAGCTGTACTGGGTGGGGGTGACGCATGCGGGCGGTGCAACTGAAGCCTTCGATGGAACTCTCTATGTGGTCACAAAGCGCTGTGTTAGGGGAGGGAGACGCATGCGAACGCCGCCACGGAGGCATTTGGTGGAGCCCCCATATGAGGCCACGAAACGCAATACTGGGTGAGGAATATCGTGTGCGGGCGGTGCCACTGGGACCTTCAGTGGGGTTTCTACGGGTCCCCGAGACTTTGGACGGGGTGGGCGTGACGCGTGCGGGCGGTGCCATTGGGGCCTTCGATGGAGCTCCCCATGGGGCCACAAAGGGCTGCACTAGGGCAGACGCATGCGGGCGGTGCTACTGGAGCCTTCGATGGAGCTCCCCATGGGGCCACGAAGCGCTGTACTGGGTGGGGGAAACGAATGCGAACGCCACCGCTGAGGCCTTCGGTGGAGCTCCCATATGAGGCCACGAAACGTTGTACTGGGTGGGGGGTGACGTATGCGGGCGGTGCCACTGGGACCTTCGGTGGAGCCCCGTACGGGGCCACGAAACGTTGGACTGGGTGGGGGTGACGCATGCGGGTGGTGCCCTGGAATCATCGGTGGAACTCCCAGTGGGGGCACGAAGCGCTGTACTGGGTAGGGGTGACGCATGCGGGCGGTAGCACTGGGGCATGCGGTGGAGCTCCCCATGGGGCCACGACGCGTTGTACTTGGTGGGGGAACCGCAGATTGATGAGGGCAGAGGCAAGGAGGTGGAGGAGTCGGGAAGGAGGAGGGGGGAGGAAGGAAGGAGGGAGTGCGTGTCGCGGGGCGCTCTCTTCAAAACGACGACCCAGCACCGCAGGATGTTTGGGAAAAGCAGGACAAGAGCGAGGGGTACAGAGAACGAGTGTGTCTGTGTGCGAGAGGGTGAAAGAGAGATGGTCCAACGGTGGAGAGTCCCCCCTGGACACGCTCGCTGACCCGCAGGACTTCCAAAGACGCCCAAACGTGACCAGCACACCTCCTCGATCCTCGGTCCCCCTGCCTTTCGGCGTCGCGTAATGGGGGGATCGTACATAGGGGACTGGCGAGGGTGGTCCGAAAAGGTACCCAAACGGTACCTAAACGAGCCCCCTGGGGCTCTGGAGGAACCCGAAAGGGGACCGTTTCTGACCCCCCCGTCAAGTCACGCCCAATGCCTCCTCGGCCCTCGCCTTCCGGGAGGTGGCACCTGCCCCGGACGGCGCCACCCCCCCGAAGGCGCTGCCCGAACCCTCTGTGCCCGAGGCCGCTGCCCCCCCCCCCCCCCCCTGCACCCCCCTATCCCAGGGAGGGAGGGCAGCGGGCCACGAGCGGCGGCGAGCGAGAGGGGGGGGGGGAGGGAGGAGGACAAGGCCTTCTCGGCAGGCGGCGAGGCTTCCCCGGAGGCCTCCAGCCTCCCGAGAGGCTTTTGGTGCCTCCGGGGAGGCCTGGAACACCTCTCAGAAGACTGGGGGGGCCCCTCGAGCCTTCTGCGGCGGTCCACCCCGTCTCACTTCCCCCCCGGGCTCGCCCCGCCGACTTGCAGGCTTGGTGCGAGGCTTGCAGGGCCGCAAGGGGGGCCGAACCCAAGCGAGCTGGCTGGTGCCGGGGGGGGGCGCTGCTGGGAGCACCCGCACCAAAGGTCACTCCGGTGAAGTCGCTCACTCTTACGTGCAATCGATTATCCGAATGCGCGCGCTCGCGATCCGGATTCCGGGGCGGTCCTGCATGCAGGAACGTGCACTGCAGGAGCGAGGCCCTATATAGGGGCCTGAAATGGCCCCTGAGCTGCCGCCGCGGGCCAGAAAGGTGCGCGAAAGGCGCACGCCTCCTCACCCCGGGTTTGCTTGCCCCCACAGTGAAAGAAAGCCCGAGCTGAGCGCACCTTCGCTCGTGGGCCCGCGGGTGATGATACTTGGCGGCGCGCAAAAGGGGGCAGGGGGAGGGGGGAAGGCTTAGAAGCACCCTGCTTCTTAGAAGGCCTCGGCCTTACGTCTATAGAGAAGGCCCGCGCCTTCTAAGAAGCAGGGGTGCTTCTAAGAAGCCTTCCCCCCTCCCCCCACCCCCCTCTGCGCGTGGCCGAGATACGTCGCCGATGGACTGGCCCTGGGCCCCCGACAGAGAGAGTCCGCACGCTCCTGGGCGGGGCGGGGCCCCCCCTGCTGGGCCTGGCCCCCTCTGGCGCTGCCCCTTGGCTATAGCGAGCAACGCCTCGGCTCTCCCGCGACCGGACCTTCGGAACGAGCCGCGCACCCCCGGAAGGCCCCCCCGGCGAGGCGCCGCTGCCGGACAGCATCCCGAGGCCGGAAAGGCGCCGGAGACATGCAAGAGGCGCCCGGGAACCTCGGGCCTGTCCCCCCCATGGAGCCTGCCCGCCCCCCCCCCAGGATGGGGGCCCTTCCGGCCACAGCAAGCCTCGGCCTCGATCAGCGGATCTCCGGGGCAGTTCTGAGGCACCGCCCGAGAACCAGAGCCCCGCCCGAGCCCAATATGGTCTTCACGCCAACGCCTCCGAGGACGCCCACACTGGGCACAGAAAAAAAGGGGCACGATGCCGAGCAGCAGCTGTGGTCCAAAACCAGGGGCAGCCGCTATATTGGGACGGCGACGCTGTGTCTCCCATGGACAGCGTCCGCGGCGCCGCCGACAGCGATCCCCGTTCCAAATGAACGAGGTCCGGGGTCGGTGTCTTTCCGTACCCATTTCGATCGTACCGAGTCTTGACTGTGACGCTGACCCTGCTAGGAACAAGGAGAATCGACAACACCACCACCACCACCAGGAATCACCAGCGGGAGGAGCCAAGGGAGGGGGGTCCCCCTGGCGGTGTGGTCCCCCCCTCTCGCTCGAGGCATCCCGCATCCCCATCCTGGGGAGGCATCGTGGACCTCCTCGCTGGAGGTGGTCCCCCTGGTGGTGGCGGTAGTGTCGCTTCTCCTTCCCCCAGCCTGACCCCTGGCGCCGAGATGTATATCCAAATGCACTGCATGCTTTGAAGAAGAACAGATGCCGTAAACATTAACGTTTGGCGCTCCGCGCGGATTTCTGGAATCCGCGCTGGACCCCCCTCCCCGGCGCGCGGAGCGCGCCAGGGGAGGCGCCGGAGGCGCAGCCCTGGGTGCCCAGGGGCCGATCCAAGAAATCTGCGCGGAGCGCCAAAAGTTTATGTGTATGTCGTTCTTTCGTCTTCGGCTGTAGGAGTTTCGAGCTCACTTCCACAGACACCCGCGGTGCAGTGGACTATGGATAAAGATCTTGCCCCAGAGGCTAGATATCTACCCATGTCCACTGCGCCTCTGGCGCCCCCTCCCAGAAAACCCAAGGCGCAGTGGATATGGATGCAAAGCTTGGGGAAACCAAGAGGTACCGAAACCGCTACTCCCCGGACCTCTTCGGGTACGCTCCGACCAGATCTCGGGGCGAACCCAACGGTGTCGACGAGGGCCGAGGAGGCACCAGACAAGGGGCAAACGAGGGAGGGGCAACGGCATAGGTAGAACAAGAAAAAACAAATGGTACAAACATACACTTTGGGCGCTCCGGATTTCTTGCATCCGCGCTGGACCCCCCTCCCTGGCGCGCGGAGCGCGCCAGGGGCGGCGCTGGAGGCGCCGCCGGGGGGGCCCAGCACGGATCCAAGAAATCCGCGCGGAACGTCAAAAACTTAGGTGCATGCCGTCTATGGTTTGCTTCGCACGGGTATACCTTATCTGGCCCTTGGCGCCGGGATGCAGCCGAGGAAGAAGGCCTCGAAGAGCCGCACGGTCCACCAACCGCGCCCTTTGGGCACCTGCGCGCGCGCGCGGGGGTGGGTGGGCGGCTCCTGCTCGCCATCGCTCGGGCGTGCATTCCCAGTGCTGCATTGTTCGGCTTCGTGCGTGCATTGGGGAAACCACGAAGTGTCCATACCGCTACCCCCCGGGCCTTTCCCAGGGTGCGTTCTGACTAGGATCTCGAGCTCGGCGAACCCAGCGGTGGCCACGAGGGACTCCCAGAGAGCCCACTAACGGGGGCAAACGGGCGGGGGGGCAGAAGTAATTGTGGGT